GAACCACTGAGAGCCTCCCATGAGAGGAGAGAATGGCCTCTGGCCTCAGGGATCAACCCCAACTGGCAGCTGAGAGGCACCTGCAGGACCCAGAGCAGCAAGTAACTGAGGGCATCAGTGATGGATCTCATGGAGAAATCCCATTTGTGCTTTCCAAGGAAGACAGAACACATTTTTACACACATTAAAAAGGAGTAACAGGAAAGGAAAGGACATGGAACTCCCATAGGTAAATGTAGAACATCATGTTATTCAGAAACAAGGAATATCTGCAGTTTGTATAGAAAGAGGAGAGGGAGAATGTGGCCTGAGCCCTTTTATTTCTTTCAGTGTCAGATGAAGTGGAGCCAGAAAAAGAGCAAGAAAAGTGGTACTTTAAAAGGTATGTTCTGTGCTTTTCCCCTGAGGGACTTGATCTCACTTGTCCCTGAGCAACCAGACAGGTCAGGGCTCTGTCAGTTGCACAGCCGAGAGAGGGAGGTTCATGGAAAGGAAATCAGAACCCAGGACAATTTCCAGGTTCTGTGAATGGCAAAGCTGTGATGGGCCATGGGACAATTGTGACCCAGTAGAGGGTGGGATGGGGGCTGTGGAATGATACTGCCTTGACTTGAAGGTAGAACTTCCAGGTCCCCCTGTGGCCAAACTCTTTCACTTCCAAAAAGTCCCATTCTTGTTTGACATAACACATTCTTTGTCCCTGAGGGGGAGGTTATAAAGGCAATGGTGGTTGGTGGAATTGGAGGACCTTGAAAATGGTAAAATGCAGTCCCCCGTGTGCCTTGCAATCACTGGTGGTACTCTGTGGCCTTGAACCCTGATGCTTGGGATCCAGAATGTAATATCATGTTCTCTAAAGGACATTCCACTGATCCTCCTGGAATATCCCAAGTTCCTCTTTTCACCATAACCCAATCTCCATTTTCAGTAACTAGAGGTGTCCTCAGAAAACTAGAGGAGACTAAGAACCTGGCTCTACCTTTGCAAAGGTAAGTAATTTGCCACTTCTTTGTGCCCTTCTTCCTATTGGAACCTATATGGTGTGACTGGGGTGACCTAGGGGCAGATTCAAGGTTGCAGTGAGATGTGACTACAGTTCTAGGGTATGGGAAATAAAGGGCTCTCTGAAGTGAATGTGTTGGGCAGTGGAGGGGTCTGGGGCTGCAGGGGTCCACCCCTGCCCAGGCTAGCTGCAGCTTTTACCTTCTGTCTCCTGTAGCAACCTAGGGAAACTACATAAGAAAAAGCGCCATCATCATTTATTAGATGAAGATGCTACAAGTGAGGTGTTGAAACCAGGGCCTGCTAGAGCACACCGGCCACATAGGCAGAGTGTGGAAAATCCTTCTGTAAGCACCTTGTCGACATTGGCATCCCTGGGTCCTCAGACTCGGTGGCCCCTTCCTCCTACTTCACCCCTATCAATACAATATCAAGATCAGTCTGACTTGAAAAGAATCATACTGGGGACTGATCCACAGTGCTGCATCCTAGGTATCTCCTACCTGACATCTCTCGTCAGGAACATCTCAGGCCTTGACCACTGCAACCATCTTGTTTCATGCCTCTTCTGGTGGTGGGCAACTTCTCAAGCCTTATTTTTCCCCTCATGTACACATGCAAAACACCACCAAAAATTTCTTTCCCCGCAACAAGCTGAAGGCTCCATGGGAGATGTCACATCCAAGTAGTGTGACACTGGGGAACTCTCCTTCAGGAAACTCAGTGTCCAAAACCTTTGGGAGATACTCATCACTAAAAGAGTTAAAATGAAACTGGGGCAGGAAATAGAAAAAAATCAATCATTTTTCAAACCCCTAAGTCCAGACCACTCCCTGCATTCTCTAGACAACATAGTGAAATCACAGGTCAGCAAGCAAGACACAACACTAAACCCATTCCAGAACACAAAAGGGAAACAAAAAAGGCTTGTCAGTTCTCAGCAGTTCTCATGGCTCAAGAACTTGACTGATCATTTCCAGCAGGGATGCAGCCAGCTTTTCTGGAGCCTGCCCTCTCTGCCCAGCAAGTACCTGGTAGTTACTGCCTGGGTCCATAAGAGGTCTTTCTCTGCATGTCCTGAAACTGTTGAATTTTTCAATGTCTCTAGCTCTTGCCTACTTCAACTTCTAGCTGAAGCACCTCCACAACTACCCCAGGAAGTGTCCCAACCCAACTTTGGACACAACCCTTGTCACCATCAGTGGCCAAGGTGCACTCCCAGGACAAGTTCCAATGGTCTTTCCCAAACCGACCACCTTCTTCTCCATGTCATAATAGGTCCTGTACAATAATTTGCCCTATATCCCAGCATCAGGCACAATCATTCATCCCAAATGAGCACCAGAATCTTGAATGGCCCTTGCAGAGGCAATTGAAATGCAGGAAGGTTTTAGTTTCTAAGTTCAAAATACCTCAGGAAGCCATTAGCCAACCCACACTCCACATTCCCCAGGGCAGCCAGGACACTCATACCATTAAGTCAGCCTCCTACATTCCTGATAATTTTCAGAGCCCTGAGGTCCACAAGCATAAAGAGAAACAGAGTCTAGATGAACAGCTTTACTGCCCTCCCAGAAGATTCCCAGCATCCCAGGAACTGGTGCAGCCTAAGGGCAAGTTTCCAGGAAAGACTCAGTGCCAGGCGAAGGACAAACACGGGCCCTCCCAGCCCAACAAGCCCTATGCTCTTACTTATGATAGCAGCAATGGCGTGCAGAAGGTGGAGTCCTCACACTCTGAAAGACCCTCTAGGAAGGGACTAGTAATGTTCAAACTAGTTGACCCAAGCAAGAGTCTAGAGCAAGACCAGAGAAGGGACCCAGAAGATCTGCCCTGGAGTTCAGGAAGTCCATCACTGAAGGGCCTGATAGAAGAGGTAGAAAGCTACTTGAGGCCCACGAAGTGTAACTCAGGACCCCACTTTGCTACAAGCTCAGACAAGGAACGTCTGGCAAAAGTCGAGGAAGATCACCTGGGTAGGAAGTTGGAGCTAATCAAAAAGGGCATGATCCCCGTGTGTGTGCGGAGATCCTGGCTTGTCGCCAACACTGACTTACCAAAATCCAACACTCAAACAAAACCCATGAATCAGGGCTCTCGTAAGGGTCAGCAATCCAAGGTAAACACCTCCCAGGAGCTTTCCTTTCTTGATCCAAAGAGTCGCCTACTGTTAGAAGCACACATTGTGAGGTATTGGGTGAGACACAAATGGGATCCTCACATGCAGGCCTTTGAACAAAAGCATGTCAACTTAAGTGAGATTCCAGTCTCACCCCTTCCACAGCCTGCCATTCCTTCCTCAGCTGACTATACTGCAAATGTTGCCAATTTCCTGGAGGAGCTTCCTCACAAAGGTCCAAAAGAGAAGGCGACAAGAAAACTGTCAGTTGCTACCCTGCAGAGTCTGTTTACTGCCCACTCAACCTCAGAGCTTCAGAGGGCACCCACAATAAACCAATTTGGTGGCATATGTGCACCAGCAGAGTCCCATCCATCTGGACAGAAGGAAAGCATGCCCTTTCAGTCCAGCATCTCCAATGTCTCGAGCCAAACCCAGCAGATCAGGACTGTCATGGAGTCCAGAAGAGGCAACTTCCTGCTATGCCAGAGCCCAGCAATGGTCAGGCATGATTCACTGGAGAAAAGAGAACATATGGCCTCAGTAGAGCCCTGTCTGAGTGTAACATCACTGAAGATCAAAATAGAGTCCCAGCTTTCAATGGCTAAGGAGAAAAGGGAGACAGTGCAGGTGACGAAGAAGATGCCACCTGCATGGAAAATATCCATGCAGCATGGATGCAAACTCTGAAAATGTCAATCTGAAGAGTTCAGAGTCTCTGGGGACCAGTAAAAGCCCCTCCCCCTATAGGAGTTCTATTTCGCAGGACCCAGCAGATTCAGGCCTAAAACCACAGGGAGTTACTGATGTTGAATCCATAGTAGGGCCTGAGTCACAAAACCAGCTTCGGGGCCCAACCACTGGCACACTTCAAGCCTGCCAGACTAACATGCTCCCCACCACAGACAGCCTTCCAGCTCAGGCTTCTTTGTCTAGCTACCAGAGAATGTCCAACAGCAAGATGACAAATTTCAATGGCCCATGTAACTTCTTAATGAGGGGAGGGCACAGCCAGGCCCAGAAGAACCCCAGTGTCACCAGAGTTAAGTTTCTAGGAAGGAATTACCCCAAGATGTTAGGTAATCCCAATGAGAGTGAGAACTGTGGAAGTTCCATACCAGGGCAGCAGGAAGAAAGGCTTGCAGGGGTGAGGCCTGTAAGCGCCTGTGTAAATGTCAGGAAAATAGGCACTGTTGGGAACAAGTCATTCCCATGCCCTCCAAAAAAGGGACAGGCTCCTCCAGAAAGTCACATGAAGACAAAGATGAAGCACTTTCTTAACCCCCATACAACAGGCAAAGGGCAGGAAGATGCCCTCCCAAAAGTAAAGCACCCATCAGCCACTAACCAGAGCCAAGGGTCAGCCACAAGCAGACACTTCAAGGACAGTGGAGCAGCTGAAGCCCAGGCACTCACGTCACTTGTTGGACAAATCCTGGTGGCCAAGCTGGGGCTTCAGCATGGAAATGGCCCATCAGAGATTCACTGTCATGAAGATGAAGCCCAAGCCCTGCTCGGCAAACATCACTCCCCCCGAGGCCCATCTAACCAAGAGCCAAGTCAAGTGCTGAGACAAATGTGTTCTGGTCAGCAAGACAGTCACAAAGGCCAGTCACCCTACCAAGAGCAGGTGGACCAGAGACAGGGACAGAAATCAATTCATGCTGTCCAGGAAGTCTGGGGCCCCAGCCAGTCTCTCAGCATAGGCCAGGTGTAACTGGTACATTAGGCTACCTTCGCCATTACCCAATATCTCATCTTCAAAAAAGTATCCTGTCTGGTAAACGAGATCATATTTCTCACAAATTTCCTGATGAGAAAAGCTTTGTTTTCTCACATAAGCAAGTCGTCTATGTGGTAATGGCTTCTTACCATGAAAATGCATTATCTCCTAATAAAGATGTTTTATCACATCAGAGGAATGAGCTTCTCTCTGCATTGCGCTGGGTGTAGGGAAGGGTCAGCATCTCAGACGTCTTCCTCAAAGTGGCTAGAAGAAGGAAAGGGACACACAGGGAGAGGATAGTGGCATCGACGACTCACCCTCACCCCAAATTCCCTTACTGCACCTTAAGTGTCCATCCTTCAGTCACCTCAGAAACGAACCATAGAAAGTCTTTAGGATTAGTCAGGATGAGCTGATCCAGAAAGACTCTACCTACAGGTCTAGTGCAACCTGTCTTTCCCTTTAGCTCTACCTTGAACTTGTGCAACTCTGGGCTGGGTGTACAGAGACTCTAGAGGGTCATGTAGATTTATAAATCACAAAAGGGTGACTCTGAGTGACCCTGAGTTCAGAGTTGGGAGAACCTTACCCCCTGCATTTCCTGATAAAGAATAGAGGCCACCTGCCAAGGAGTCCCTGATGTCTCTGATAGAGAATGGGATGATAATGGACCTTCCCATCCCCTGTTAGCCTAGCCTGGATCTCATGGCAATGTCACCACCACCCTCTCTGTCTTCTCTCTTTATAGCAGTGACCAGGATTGAACTTGCAGCTCTGCCTGTGTTGGGGTGGAAGCCACAGGAAAGCTGCTGGAGGGCAGGTGACCCTCCACTGTCACCTGTCTTCCCTTCTGAGTAACCCAGAGTATATAGTAACCATCACATGGTGGGGACAATATAGGCCCAGAAAGAAATATGGAAGAAGAATTGTAATGATTTTAGTCAAGGAATTAGGCAGGCACAGATTGAGGTGCCATAAGGTTTGCTGAGGACAGAAAGTCCCTATTCTTTCAGCCTGGATTGATCAGACTGCAGGGACTGAGTCACTCACCCCAGTCACTACTCAAGACCTGCTGCTTGGCCACCCAAATGCAGGCCTCAAGAAGCCACATTAGCTCCAGCACAGACTAGAGAGGAAGCACAGCCTTGAAGAAGGGAAAATTAATTTCTTAATAATGGATTTAATAAGCCTATATGACATTGCACCTTGAATTCCTGAAAGGAGTTGGCAACTTCACAGACTCTCCTGAGAGGAACTCAGGAACCCCTGAATGAGGACCAGTTACAAAGACCTCCCATGGAGGCAGAGAGAGATCTCACTGAATCACACATACCTCAGAGAGATTTCCTAGAGACATCAGACACATCATCCTCCATAGAACTTCCCTGAAAACCACCATGCAGAACATGCACAGACCTCACAAAGAAACCTACACAGGCAGAGCATGGAGTGTCCGTGACAGGATTAGCGGATATCACAGTGCTCCCCACAGAGCCCCCCCCCCACACACACACACACTAGGGTATGTCACAATGACCTCTCACAGAGACCACACATATTCATTAGGATAAGTCACAGTGATCTCCCACAGATACCCTAAACACAGTCACTAGAGGTTGGCATGTTGAACTCCCACAGACACTATACATGGTCACTGGAATATGTCACAATGACCTCCCTCAGAGACTTTACACACAGTCACCAGAGGAAAGCTCAATGTCCTCCCACAGAAACCATGAACAATATTTGGGTTATTACAGTGACCTCCCACAGAGACCACACTCACAGAGTTACTACAGGCTGACACAATGGTCTCCCACAGAGACCACACACAGTCAATAGGGGATGTCAAAATGACCTCCCACAGACTCACTAGGGGTGGTCAGTCACAGTGACCTCCCACAGAGACCACATGGAGTCACTGGGGGATGTCACAGTGACTCCTAAAAGAGACCATACCCAGTCAGTAGGGGATGGCTCAATGACTTCACACAGAGAACACAAGCATAGTCACTGGTAAATGGCATAATGACCTCCCACAGAGACCATGCACAGAGTCACTAGGGTTTGTCACAGTGAGCTTCCATAGAGATCATACACAAAGTCAATGGATTTGTCTCAATGATCTACCACAGAGACCATATACAATCACTAGGGTATATTACAATGACTTCCCACAGAGACCTGACATTTACTCTAAGGAAAGTCACAGTCAACATTCACAAACCATAAACACAGTAACTAGAGGATGAAAAGGCACCTACAACAGAGACCATACATAGTCACTGGGGTATGTCACAATGACCTCTCAAAGACCACACAGTCACTAGGGTATGTCAGAGGGACCACACACAGTCACTAAAGGAGAGCTCAGTGACCTCCCACAGAGACCACAGTCAGTCACCAGGTGATATCACACTGAACTGCCACAGAGACCACATACACACTCACTAGAGGATGGCACAGTGACCTCCCATAGATAACACACAGAGACAATAGGGGATGGCAAAATGTCCTCCCACAGAAACAATACAAAACCACTGGGTATATCACAGTGACTTCTCACAGAGACCACACACACAGTCACTGCTGAATGGCAAAGTGATCTCCCACAGGAACCACACAGAGCCACCAGGGGATGTCACAGTGACTTCCCAAAGAGATCACACACAGAGTCTTAGGGAATGACATAATGTCTCTCACACAGACCATACACAGTCACTAGAAGATGTTACAGTGACCTCCCACAGAGACCATACACAGTAACTATGAGATGACACAGTGACTTCCCATAGAGAACATACACAGGACATCACAGTGTCCTCCCACAGAGACTAGGCATAGGCAATAGTGAATGGCACAGTGACATCCCACACAGACCACACACATAGTCACATGGTTCCTAGCACAGTGTCCTTGCACAGAGACTACACACACACACACCCCAATTGGAAGATGTCACAGTGTCCTCTCCCAGGGATCACACACACAGTCCCTAGGGTATATCCCAGTGATCTCACCCAGAGATCACACAGTCATGAGGGATATCACAGTGACCTTACACAGAGATCACACCCAGAGTAACTAGGGCATGTCACAGTGAATTCCCACAGAGACCACACACAAAGTCACAAGATTTGTCACAGTGACCTCCCAAAGAGACCACACATGTTCACTAAGGAATGTCAAAGATAACTCTTAGAGACCATAAACACAATAAACAGAGGATGTATAGTGACCTCCTACAGAGACCATATATAGTCACTGGCATATGTCACAATGACTCTCACAGACATCACACACAATAACTAGGATATGTCACAGTGACCTCCTACACAGACCAAAGGCAGTCACTAGGGAATGGCAGAGTGAGCTCTGACAGAGACTACAGATTGTCACTGGTTGATGCCACAGTGACTTTTCACAGAGATTTCACAAACACAGTCACTAAGGGACTTCACAGTGACCACCGACAAGAACCACAGATTGTTTCAAGGGGATATCAGAGCGATTCCAACAGAGACCGAACACAGACTCCCCAAGAGACCACACACATAGTCACTGGGAGAAGTCACAGTGACTCCCACAGTGACCATACACATAGTCACTAGGGGATGGCACAATGACCTCACACAGATCAGTCACACAGTCACTTAGGGATGATAGGTTGACTTCCACAGAGAGCACAGACACTTCATTCTTGGATGTCACAGTGACCTACCCTAGAGACCATACACAGTCAATAAAGGATGGCACAACAACCTCCCACAGAGGCCAAACACAGCCATCAGGGGAAGGCACAGTGACTTCCCAAAGAGACAACACACAGTCAATAGAGGAGGCACAGTGACCTCCCATAGAGACCTCATACAAAGTCTCTTGATTTGTCAAAATGACTCCCACAGAGATCATATACAGTTGTAATGACCTCCAACAGAGGTCACAAGTTCACTTAGGAATGTTAGTTAACTCTCAAGGAGATGATTAACAGTTACCAGAGGATGTCACAGTGATCTCCCATAGAGACCATATAATCACTGGGATATATCACAATGACCTCTCAAAAAGCCACACATCACTAGGTCACAGTGACCTCCCACAGAAACCACACACACATAGTCACTAGGGGATGGCACAGTGACATCCCACAGAGACCAAACACATTCACTAGGGATGTCATAATTACCACCCAGGGACAGCATACACAGGGACTAGAGGATCTCACAATGTCCTCTCACAGAGCACCAGGGTAACCTTCCCAGAGACAACACACAGTCACTAGGGGATGACATAGTAACCTCTCACAGAGACTCTAGAAGTCACTAGAGGATATCACAGTGACATCCCAAAGAGACCATACATATCAATCTGGGATTTCACAGTGAACTCCCACAGGGAACACACAGTCATGAGAGGATGTCACAGTGCCCTCACACAGAAATTACACAAGGTCACCAGGGGATGCACAGTGACCACCAAAGAGACCACACACAGTCACTAGAGAATGGCAGAGTTACCTCCCACAGAGACCACATATATCATAATGATGTCACAGAAACCATACACAATCATTAGAAGGTGTCACAATGACATCCTACAGAGACCACACAGGCACTAGGGGATGGCAAAATGACCTCCACAGAGATCACACACAGAGTCACTAGCAACATCACCATGACCTCCCACAGACACCACACAGAGTCAGAAGGGGTTGTGACAATGACCTCTTCCAGAAAACATCCACAGTCACTAGGAGATACCACAGTGAATCCCACAGAGATCACACATAGTCACTAAGGGATGACACAGTGATCTCCCAGAGAGAGCACACAGTCATTAGGGGATGGCACAGTGACTTCCCCTAAAGACCACACACAGTAACTAGGAGGTGGCACAGTGATCTGCCACAGAGAATGTATAGAGACTGACCAGGGAATGTCACAGAGTCCTCCCACAGAGAACAACCATAGGTACTAGGCGATGGCACAATGATTTCCACGGAGACCACACACAGTCACTAGGGTATGGCACATTTATCACCCACAGAGACCATCTATAGTTGCTAGAGGATGTCACTGTGATCTCCCACAGAGAACATACACTCAATAGAGCCTGTCACAGTGACCTCTGAGAGAGATCACGCACAATAACACAGGGATGGCACAGTGAGCTCTCACAGAAACTGCACACAGTCACTAGGGAATGTCACAGTGACCTCCCAGAGACTGCACACAAAGTCACCAGATTTGTCACAATGACCTCTCCTAGAGACCATATACAGTCACTAGTGTATGTTACAATGACTTCCCAAAGAGACCACATATGTTCGCTAGAGAATTTCACAGTCAACTATTACAGAGACCATAAACACAGTCAGCATAGGATGGTACATTGATCTTCCACAGCAGTAGCACAGTAACTAGGGGATGTCACAGTGAGCTCCCACAGAAGCCACAGATTGCCTCAAGGGGATATAAGAGTGATCTCCAGCAGTCTCTATGGGATGGCCTAGTGGCCTTCCACAGAGACCACACACTGTCACTGGAGGATGGCAGACTCACCTCCCATCGAGACAGCACACAGGAGGGAGGGTATGGGCACAATGTTCTCCCACAGAAAGCACACATAGTCACTAGGGTATATCACAGTGACCTCCCACAGAGACCACACACAGTCAGTATATGATGGCACACTGACCTTCCACAGCAATCACACAGTCACTAGGGGATGTCACAGTGACCTCCCAAAATTTACACACACAGTCACTACAGACAGTCAAACTGACCTCCCTCAGAGACCACATGTAGTCACTAGGGATGACACTGTGACCTTGCAGTGAGGCCTTACACACAAACTCCCACAGGACCTTACATTGCCCAACAGAAACTTACCACAGATCTTTTACGATTTTCCACAGAGTTCACACGCAATTCACCCAACCCAACATACAGACTACATATGTGGCCTACATAGACCACTCCTCATGTGCTAATGATGCATGCCACGCTCCTCACCTTCATATACGGCCCCACTGGGCACCCGGTACTCCCAGTGAACCAGGAAAAGTTGGGCCTCGCACTCCTCCTGTATTCCAGACATTTGTAACTGCATGTATGTTGTCAGTGTGAGGCAGGGAAACTCGGCAGAATTGTCAAAATTCTCCCAGTACTGGTAGAGCCATCTGCCAAGGATGGAGCTGATATCCCTGGATGCAGAGAGAAGGACAGCAGAATGACAGAACTCACCTTGACTTTCTTTGTCCTTTCCCAGCAGACTTGGAAGTGCTAGGATCCTGTGCCTGCTACCATCTTATCCAAAGGACAAGAAAAAGCAGACCAAATGTTTTGTCTGTCCAGGCAGTGGCAGGAAAGGCACAGGGGCATAAAGCCTGCATGGGGTGGGAGGTCCAAGTTAAATGGCTTGAATCATCTTCCCTGATCAGGGATTCTCCACATACTGCTGTGTGTGTGCCTTGGCCCCCTTGCCTCTGGGATGTCAACTCCACTAGGGCATGTCCTCTTCCTTGGCTTCTCTATGGGGCTAGTTTCCCTCCCTTTGGGGTTCCAGCTGGTTCATCGCCATAAGCAATGCGTGTCAGCTGTCTGAGAGAACACTATTCCATTGCTGTGCAAGTTTCCCTCAGAGCACTTACAGTGCAGCTGGGGAACAGCTGACTCTCCACTAGTGATGAGGCCACCCTCACAGATTCTCTGGGGCCTAATGGGCAACAGGGTAGGCAAGGCCCATGAGGATAGGCTGTGTTGTGTATGATGGACTCTCCAAGGTGCCTTTCGCTGAGGCCCAAGCAGCCACTCCACCCTCAGGTGCTCAGGACACACCCACAGCTCTCGTGGAGTCCTTTCAACTCAGGTGCCCCACCCCCACCTCAGACTTCTATTTGGAATCAGGAGAGTTTGGGCACCCAGAGTGTGCCTAGTGCTACCCAAATGCAGCCCCTAAATGTCCCTATGGAACTGGTACACATCTTCTTTACCCAATAGCTGGTCACTTTTTCAGTTTGTCCTCTGGTCTTTTTTCCTCATTGGAGTCATACCTTGTGGAGTCAATGCAGCTGTCACGTCTACTGTGACACCTAGTGTTACCTGGTAACTTCCCACAAGAATGGAGCCCAGGAAATCCTTGACTTGACTGCTCTTTTACTAAAATACGCTATGTGCCTGGAATCCTGCCCAAAGACAGTAAAGCCTCATGTTGTATTTCAGAAATGAATGAAGCCACCTGGGTCTTTCCCAGCTAGTTTGCTGGGCCTGTTTTCCTGCATCCCCAAGAGCTCCCTGGACTGTGATATGTCAGTGTTTGTTCCATAGAATAGAGAACTTCCTTTAAAAATGGGGAGGTGCTTTGCCAGTGCCAAGGGTAAGTGAAGACCAAGGTAGAATGATTCTCCTGGAGAAACTCTGGGCACACAGAAGAGCCAAAGTCCTTGTTAGCTGAATACACAACATCAGACCCAAGACAAGAGCTTCTGTGGCACATATCTCTGGATCCTGGAAACACCTCCTAAGAGGGTTCTTCTGAACCCACCAGTCTCCACAATCAAATGGGAAAAAGAGCAGGATGGTAACTGGGCAAGTCACACCTAGGAGTTTGGGATTCCTCTGGGTGTTGAAGTATTGCTCACCATGTATAAAGAATATCCAGCACATGCTCAGTGGTAGTGAAACATCCATAATTCCCCTGGAAGTGGTAAACAAAAATGGTGTTTCCATAGAGCAGGGCAGTCCAAATCTGGTCTGTTAAATTCCCCAGGTTGTCTGCCTCAGGAATTTCATTATGGCAGGACTCTTCTTGGAGAGACACTGGTGGAGTTTCAATCTAGGTGGGGACAAATGACAAGAAATTCAAACACTAAAGCAGTATCAAATAGCAAAAGGATCTGCCTTAGAGTGCACTGAGAAAATACCCAAAGACTTTCCACAAACACACACACACTGATAGGGATCTGTTGCTTTAGGTGGGGGATCAGATTCTACTAGATGTCCCTTGCCAGCTATTCTGGCCATCCCTGTGTCACCTTTGGTGTCACCTGCAAAAATCAAGAGGTATCATGGGCTTGAGGAGAACGAGAGTCTCAACATTGGGATTAGGCCTCCTTTTGGGTGCTCCTGGGTACAAAGCATGTACAAATTAGGAGACACCAATTGTATCCCCTTCTCTCTGGAGGTTCTCCAGAGAAATGAATTTGCTGAGGTTGCTCTGAAATTAAGATGCCTTGTCCCCAACTGAGGCCAATAGGAAAAGGGACCAGGAACTAGAGAAAAGGTTAGATTAAAAAGAATTAACCTAGAAGGTAACACCCACGCACAGGAAATCAATGTGAGTCAATGCCCTGTATAGCTATCCTTATCTCAACCAGCAAAACCCCTTGTTCCTTCCTATTATTGCTTATACTCTCTCTACAACAAAATTAGAGATAAGGGCAAAATAGTTTCTGCTGGGTATTGAGGGGGGGAGCGGGAGGGGGTGGAGTGGGTGGTAAGGGAGGGGGTGGGGGCAGGGGGGAGAAATAAACCAAGCCTTGTATGCACATATGAATAATAAAAGAAAAATGAAAAAAAAAATAAAATAAAAAAAATAAGATGCCTTGTCCCCTGTGTTCTACAATGTGACTAGTCCTGAGTGGTGTAAGAGGTTTATTCTCTGAAGTTTTACTCTACTAAGTGTCTGTCCTTAGAACAAATAGCCCCAAGATCTACTAGTATGCTGCTGCACCTGCCTACCGTGTCCACACGGTAACACCCACACACTACACCATGCCTGCCATGAGCAGATCTAGTCAGCTCATTTTGCAATTTTGAGGGGAAAGAGCTGGGTTTACACCTGGACCCTCATTTAAGCAGGTGCCTCTCTATGGTCAGGTATTGCATATCTACTGTCCTTGGCACTGTCCCCATGTGCTTGCTGTAGATAATCCTGGTGTCAGCTACCAAGAAAGTCCTTGCTTTTATACATTCCAGGGTGACTGTATTCCCTGTGACTCTTAGGGACAAGTGAAACAGGAAGCTAATGCACAATCACAGAGAAGGAACAATAGAAGTAAGTTGAAAAACAAAGAATATAATGCAGACTGGGTTGTGCTGATGCCCACCTGTAATTTCCATGCTTTGGAGGCTAATAGAAGTGAATGTTGTTCTCAAGGACAGCCAGGACAACACACCCAGAATGTGTCATTCATTCAACTACAAAAATGACACAGGACTCAAACCAAGCCTGAGTTCCACAATGGAATTGAGATAAAATGATAAGTACATGTATCAATCTATCAATCTATCTATCTCTGTGTATGTATATATAATATAATAGATATGTATATATTGTCAAAACACCTCATTTGAACATGAACATTCACACAAACATTCATATCGCTGGCTATGGATGCAGGTGTTTGGACAGGAGATGGACTCTGTGCCTGTTACTTGAAGACCTTCAAGGATTGGGGAGGCCTGAGAACTTCACTGATGGTCAGACCAGGTCCTGAGATTGGACAAGGTCCTCCAGGAGTGTTGTTCAGGACCAGCACTGAACCTGCATTGTCAAGAGTTAGATAGCACAAAGTGCCCTTTCTATCATCCTCCTTGTGCTAGATTCACTGGTAGGGTACTGACACTCTGACAAATCTCTCCCTTGTTCAGGGACACCTCAGAGAGTATCAAGTCACTCAAGATGGCTAACTCCACAAAACAGGGCCCTCTTTTCATATCCATTCCAAGTAATGAGTACCCATAGCCAACAATGCAGGGTGCACTTTTGTACAGGTGAAGGAGTGTCCTGCTCACAGCAGAAAGAGCTGCAGGCAATTGCAGAAAGGCCTGGAGCGAGAATTGGGACCAGGCAGTGCTCTGTCTGATGGCGTGTCTGTTTTCCCTCTGTGGGAGAGCCATGCTGCCTCTACTTCCTCATATCCTCTCAGAGGAGGTGACAGGCCAGTGAGGGAATGAGCACCTGACCCTGGATTCCAAAGTCAGGACCCTGCCCTCTGTGATAGCATCAGTCTGCAGGACTTTACCCACAGGTAAATATGGGTAGGATGACTTATGTTATGCTACCAGGTCAGCCTGACAGGAGAATCTACTGAGTTAGTCCCTAAGGATACAGAATGATTACCATTCCACTGGGAGAGAAAAATCGGCCTGGGTAAGAAGGTATCCACAGAATGTCCCTAGTCCAGGTCTTGCCAGTCATGACACCCTTATACCTGCTTCGCACTCTGCCCAACTGTCAGCTCTTCCGCAGATAGGATTGTATTAAGAATTTTTGTAGCCAATGAAATGCCCACATTTGGCCCTTTCCTAGAAATGAAAGATTTCCCAAAATTTTCAACTAAAATCTCACAGAGCTTTGATGCCCCTGGAGAGATCAACCCTCACTGGGTGAGTCCTCATCACTGAGACGAAGACGGTAAGACAGGTGGACAAAGCAGAAGCCACAGAAGAAGAGATGGGGATTGACCTGTCACACCATGCTCATCGTGATCCAGGCAGTCCTGGATTTTATGGTGTGTTTCTGGCATTCACCTCTCTGAGTAGGCTGTGAGGGTAATTGGTATTTACTACTCCAAGGAGGTTTGTCACTAAAGAGGGACCCTGTTCTACCCAGCCCCTTCCTTTCATCAAAGATTCAGAGATGCTGAGTTGACACCATCTGTGTGGGATATGGCTTCCTGTATATGGATTCCACTGTCATTACTCTCTTCCTCCTGGAGGCTAAACTGACCTTGTGCCAAAGAGAGCTCAAGGTCAAGGATGCTGTTGAGGAACTGTGGGTCCCTGCAGTGCACCTGGGCCTATAAACTCTGACCTCAAGGGTTTCCCACTATGACTCTAAATCGCCTTTTCCTGTCTCAGGGTGGTGTCCAGCTCTTAGTCTGGCTCATAGACTCCTAGTCTGGTGAATTGAGCAACCCTAACTTTTAACACAAACCTGCAGAGTATAACCTCCATGTTCTGCTCACAGAGTGTGGGGTCAGCCCCTCAGCTCTCACCTAAATGCCTGAGGTTCTAGAACATGGACAAATGAAGTCCTTTCTGCTGTACCTCTTTCTCCACCCTGATTCTATTACTGCAGAGGACCAAATTTCAGGCACTGAAGAGGGGAAATGAGGTCTGGTTAAGAAAATGGCCATGTTCATGTAGATCTAAGAATCTGAATGGGGAAAAATGGCTCTGAGCCATGGAATACCAGGTCTGCACAGAGGAAGTCAGAAGGACACCTGCCACCACCCTGCCCTGCAGAGCCACTCACAGATTCCATCAGGATGAAGTGGTGATTCACCAGGTCATGAGGGGAAGCCAATATAGTAGGGTTCTCCCTGATCAGGTCAAGCTCCATGTCCAAGAATTGAGGCCTTAAATGCTCTCCAAATGGACCACTCTTATATCCTGGCATCTCCACAGGAGGCAGCTCCACCTCTGGTGCTCCTGAGGAATTTGGCTCAAGCTCTGGATTTGGTTGTAATGCCAAAATTGGAGCTGTAGCTAGATCTGCAAGAGGAGATAAGAACCCTACATGACCCCTTGCCCTGAAGCTTTGGAAATTCAGAGATGATCTCTCTCAGCTTCCCTGAGAAGTCAGAGCCCAGAACCCACAGCAGGACATCCTCCTAGACTGTGGTTCAATCCCTGTGGCGTCCAAAGCTCATCCTTACTCCTGCTCTAGTACTAGACTAGGAATATACACAAGGTGGGGCTGTGTGCACACATCCCTCCTCATGTGCTCTCTGTCCCCTGTCCCCAGGCTCCTCACTTTTAGCTTCCATCTCCCAGTGGTCCAGCAGAAGGAACGTTCGGACCTCCACTTCTGAGCCTGGCATATAAATCACCAGGTAATTAAGTAATAACTTCAGGCACGGAAAGTGTGGTGGTTCACAGAAATCCTGAGAGAAATAATCCAGCCAGGTACCAAAGATTGATGACCCTGGAGGCAGATGGAAGGGCAATTCAATCACAAGCTTGGCCTTCCCTTTCCCTTCCCTGCCACAGTGGATTAATGGGTGCATGGTTCCTGTGCCTACCCCTGCTTATCCAAAGTACTGCACACTCTAGACCATACCATTTGTCTGTCCAGACCATGGCAGTCAGGGTAAAAAAAAACAGGAGTTGCAGGGATCCTCTATGAGAGGGAGCCCAAGCTAAGTGCTTTGAGCACTTCTTCCTTGTCCAAGGACTCTCCACACACAGCTCCGTGTGTCTCTGGGGCGTCTTTCCTCATGTCAACTACACTAGGGTTTGTACTCCTGCCTGGCATCCACAGGGCTCTGGGAGCCCTCACATTGCAGTCCCAGCTGCCTCAATACCCTGAAGACCATATGCGTGGTCTGTCTGCCCATAACACTTTTCTCCTGATTGGCAAAGCCTGCTTCTGAGCATGCATTGGGTCCCTGGGTATCAGCTAAGCTCACACTATGAAGTGAGGACATCAATCCATTTCTGTGGCTCTGAGGGGCAACACGGCAGGCAACTCCCACAGGGATGGGCTGGGTTTTGGATGATGGATTAACCTAGGGTCCTGCTCTGAGGTCCTAACAGCTCATCTAGCAATCAAGTGCTCAGAATGACACCCACAGCTCTTTTGGCTTCCTTGTATTCAGGTGAAGCATTAGACCTGAGCCCTGCAGTTGGAATCACAAGAGTTTTGGATTGCAGGGTGTGTCTAATCCTAACCAAACTCAGCCTACACAGGTCCCTACTCTTTAGACAGATGCCCACCCACTGGCCCCAACATCTGCTTACTTTTTCAGTTCTTCCTCTGGCCTGTCATCTTCGTTGGAGTCAAACCTAGAAAAGTCCATGAAAGTGTCACATCTACTGTACCTGTTATGACACCGAGTGTTCCTGGGTGACTTCCCAAGGGAATGGAGCCTAGGACATCAACAATTTGACAGCTCTTTTACTGTATTGTGCTATGTGGCTGGAAACACAATCCCATACAGTAGGTGCTTTGGGTATATTTGTGCAATGAGTGAGGTCACCTAGCTCCTTTACAGATACCTCACTGGGTCTAGGTTCCTCAGAACCTGGAGCAGTCCCTGATGTGCTATAGGACATGGGAAACCTCCTTTTAAAAATACACAGACTGCTGGGGTGAGGTCATGGTAAGTGAGGACCAACTCAAAGAGATTCTCCAAGGAGGGTGGGGACACCCAATGTAACAACAGACCTGGTGGCCAACTCCACAGGATCAGGCCTGGGAGAGGCATTTCTAGGGCTCATTCCTCTTGGTCCTTATGAAAGGGTTCTACTGAGCACTCCAGTCTCCACAATTAAACCAGACAAAAGCAAAGCAGGCATTGCCAAGTCACAGCTAGGAGTTGGCTTGTCCTTTGGGTATTGAAGTAGTGCTCACCAAGTGAAAAGCACATCCAGCATCTGCTCGGTGGTAGTGAAATATCTATAGCTGCCCAGAAAGTTGTGGATACAGGTGGTGTCCTTACATAAGGCAGAGTTCAATATTTCGGTCACCAAATTCTGCAGAGTTCCTGCCTTGCTCATTGCAGGGCTCATCCAACATGGAGGCTGATGTATTTTCATTCTACGTGGAGAAATAGGAGGAACAATTTAAACACAAACAGTAGCAACTGGCAAAAAGGATTGCACTATAGTGAAGTGAAAATTGCCAAAAAGAATTTATCACACACTCAGGTATATACACACCCACACCCACAGGCATATCAATAGTGAGCTGTTGCTTTATGCAAGGGGACAGATTGGTCTGATGGCTGGCATCACCTATACTGTCAATGCTTGTGTCACCTTTAGCGTCCTCTGGGAAAAACCAAAGGATGTGTGTACCTCAGCTGATCCAGTGTCTCAAAATGTGGATGAGGCCTCTGTTTTGGCCTCTCCTGGAGCCTAACCATATGCCAGTCAAGAGACACAAAGAGGACATTCTTCACTCTTTAGTGTCTCCAGAGAAATGAGCTAGCTGCAGTTGCTCTGCATTCTACTTGCTGGTCCTCAAAGTCTGCATTGTCTTCGGCTTTCAATGCTATAAGTTAGGTTATCTCTGAAGGTGTACTCCACTGAACCTCTGCCTCAGAGAAAACTTCCCCCAGGTCCACTGGTATTCTGACCCACCTGCCTGCCCAGACCATGTGGAAAGCTACACACAGCCACATTCCAACCCTCACCCACACTGTCCTCAGACATGCCTGGCTAGACAGTAACCCAAATTTGAAGTGATAGAGCAGGATTCATAAGTGGCCCCTCCTTCCAACCAGGGATGTTACCCTGGACAGGTCATTGTGGTTCTCACATCTTCCCCACTCTCCCCTTTTTCTCATTGAGTAGTCACTCTAGCATCTGCTAGCTAGGAAACCCTTGCTTTTACATGCCCATAGCTACCTGTGTTACTTGTGGCACTCAGGGACAGTTGGAAGATATAGCTAATGCACTAATATGGAGAAGGGACAATTAGAAGGGTAGATAAGGGAATCAACCAAAAAAAAAATGAAATCCAAGCATTGCAGTACACATCTTCAATTGCCATACTTTGGAGGTTCAGGGAAGAGCATCTCAAGTTCAAGGCCATACTGAGCCACATAGGAAGATGCTGTCCCTCAAATGAATAAAAAACGAAACACAACTCTACCCAAGCCTGAGTTCCATAATGGTATGAAGGGAAGATGACAAATGTGTATATAGAAATGGAAACATACGGACAAAATGGCTTATGCAAGCTCACATATTTACATGCATATTCACAGCCCTGTGTATCCCTGGAAGTGTTTGGGGGTATTCAGGACACTGCATGATATTTGAAGATCTGGGAGGAATGTGGAGGTGTGGAGACCACCCTTATAATGGGAACTAGATCCTGGGTGGACAAGGAGTTTCAAGGTGTCTGTCAGGACTAGGGCTGATCCTGGCTTTGGGAGAGGCAGGTATCACAAGAAACCCTTCCTGTTATCCTTGTGGTACCAGATTTCCACTCTGATGAACCTCTCCTCTGCTCAAGGCCATTTGAGATAGCATCAAGGACACTGAGAATGGCTAACTTCACACAGTAATGCCATCCAAACAAAACTATATACAGACACACAAATGAGGATGGGCTTTTGTGAAGGTAAGTGAGAATACTGCTCCCGGTGCCACAAAGCAGAATGAACTGCAGGCAGCAGTAAGAATGCACAGAAACAGCAAAGTGAACCAGGCAGCTGCTCTTGTAGATTGCAGGGCTGAGCTTGCCCTCTTTGTGCAACATGAACTGCCTCCACTTCCTCCTGCCCTCACAGAGGAGGTGACAACCCTAGAAAGGAGTGTTGCTAGGACCCAGGATTCCAATATCAGGGCCCTGTCCTGGAGGAGAATCTCAGGCTGATGGATAGGAGCTACACTACAGGTAGTCCTAGGTAGGATGCCCTGGGTTATGGCGCTGGGTCTGCCTGCCAAAGGAGGAGCTGTCGCAAACAGGTCCACTTATTTGCTTTCCCTCTCCTGAGAGAGCAACAAAGGCTGCCATCAGGAGGCTACACCAGAGTGTAAGTGGCCCAGGTCATGCCAGTCCTGACACCACACATTGTTTCCTCCCCTTGTCCAAATTTGGTCTCCAGAGAAGATTCTTTCTCTTCAGCACAGAGTTCTACATATAATATTTATTATCAATAAATTGTTAATGCATGGTCCTCTCCTACAAACCAAATATTTTCTACAATTCTTGACTAAAAATTGGCGTGAGCTTTATGTCCATCGACTGATCAGACATCACCCAGGAAGGCCTGGGTGATGTATAAAGGATGAGAAATGATGACAAGGGCAAAGTCACAGAACACAGAGATGGGGGTTGATGTGTTATAGCACACTGAGTGTAGTCACCCAGTGAGTACTAGATTAGATGGTGTCATGTACCTGCCATTCAACACTCAACTCTTTCTGAGAACACTGTGAAGGGCCCTTGATCCAAGCTATTCTGAGGAGGTGTGTCACCCAGGAGGGCACCTGCCCTGCCCACACCCACCCTTCCATGGAAGGTGCTGTGAGGCCAAGTTGGCAGTTGTGTGAGCTATGGCTTCCTTGATTCAGGTTCCCCTTATCATTCCCCACTCTCCTTGAAGCTAAAATGACCTGTCATGACTAGGTATCAAGGTTAAGGTCACTGTCCCTGATCCTGGGGACCCTGTGATATGCCTTTCACATTCATGCTCCAAGACCTTACCACGGTGACTCTAAGTCATTCTTTCCTCCCTCAGGAAGCTGTCCAGCTTCTGCTCATGCTCACAGCCTCTTGGGCACCCACTACCCAATCTATCCTTTCATACAAACCTACAGGCTCAAACTCCCTCTCACTTTCACTAAAGGAGTGAGGCCAATCATTCAGGCTTCACTCAGGAGTTCTGGCACAGGTGATCAATCAGGGACTGGCTGTCCTGTTCCATTCCTGAATCTACATAGTAACTGTGTTGGCCTTTGTACAGTGTACAAAGTGGAGTTGAATTATCTATTGGGTTAAGAAAATGGCCCTGCTCAGGTTGCTCCCTGGAATTCAATGGGAAAAATGTCCTGCACCAGGGAATGCCAGATTGGGCAGAAGTGGTCACAAGAATGCCTGCCTCCACTATGATTGCACAACCACTTACATCGGTTAGCATTAATTGCTCTGCCACCAATTTGGGCTGGAATATCCAGAGTTGAGTTTTATACTTAATCAGCACCTTTTCTACGGTCACAGATGAAGGCCAGGTAGACTCGTATGATGGAACCGGCATTGTTGCCTGATGGAGCTCTGGAGTCTCTTCGGGAGCTGTCTGAAACTCCACAGCCTCTGAACGAGATAATTTGAGTTTCACATCCTCCAAAATAGCTGTTTCAGGTTCTGAAGTTGGTTCCACGCATTGATGTGGTGATACAACTACAGGAAGAGACAAGATCCCATAATTCTACCTTGCCTTCCAAAGGCAGAGATTATGCTAGGTTTACTTAGTTGACTGACTCTGAAGGATGAGGCGTTGGGCTATCACATACAGGGATCATCCTACTGAGTCCCAGAATCATCCTCTAGGAGTAATAACCTGAGCCACCTACTCTGGACAACAAACTGGGCCAAGAGCAGGACACTGCATTGCTAAGTCACAGCAGTGGAAATCCTCTGGGCTCACCATTTGAACACTCTGTTGAGCTCATGCTCTGTTGCAGTGAACCTTCGGTTGCTGCCCCTAGTTGTGGGGAGGAAGATGGGGTCCCAGAACAGCACAGAAGGCACCATTTTCTCCAAAATTTCTGCCTTGGAGAGTTTCTCCCTGTAGGCCTCACAGAGGAAGTTGGCTGGCACAAGTTCTCCCTGGTTTGGGACCAAAGAGGGACAGTTCAAGCATGGAGACAGTAGCTCACTGGAAAAAAGACTTTGTCATAGAGTCAAGTGAAATAGGAGGATCAAATTTTCCTATACACACAGACACACAAACACACACCCACAAGAGGAGGGATCTGTTGTGGTCTCTGGGAGATTAGAGTGGCTTGTGTGCCCCCCCCCCCCGCAACTGCCCTGTCCTGCCTCTGTCACTTTGGGGTCCTCTGGAAACATCTCCACTGGCATTGTGATCAAGTACTGATGTAGTTTCTCCAGACAGAGGCTGGCCTCCAGGGTTGGTTCTCCTGGAAAGTGAGCCTCTGTGCAATGGGAGACATTGAGAAAACATCCTTTACTCTATAAGGTTTAGAGAGATATGAGTTTGTTACAGTGGATCAGGACAGTGGGTGCCTGGCCAACAGGGTTTTAAATTCTCTGGCCCGTATCCGGGAAGTGAGGGCATCTCTGAAGCTCTCCTCAACTGACACTTTGTCTCAGACAAGACATCTCCTAGGTTCACTATGCTGCTGAATGCTTCCTGGACTGGTCCATGTGGAAAACTATACACTGTCACACCTACAACCACCCCACCACTGTCTCCAGATGGGTCTGAATGTGCCAGTGCCCAACTGTGAGGAAATCAAGTTAGGTTCACACCCAGTGCCTCTTTCCAACAAGGCGTGTGACCTCAGACAGGTTATTCTAGCTCTCATGACTTTCCTCGTTTCATTACTTGTACTTTTGGGCGCATCCTAGTATTTGTCTCATAGAAAGGCCTCAGTTAGCCATGACTGTCTTACCTGTCATAGTCTGGAACCCTCAGAGACAGCTGGCACCTGATGCACATGCACTAACTTAGAGATGGGACAATAAAAAGAAGGAGAAAACAATATAATGCAGACCAAGTGTGGTAGTGCCCACACTCAAGAGGCTAAGGGAAGAGCATCTAGAGTTAAAGGCTACCCTGGTCTCCATAACCAATCCTCATCTCTTATAAAAATAAAACTGAAACACAACTCAACACAGAAGTGAATACCACAGTGCTAGCTAGAGAAAAATCACAACTGTATGCATAGGGATGTGTACATACAGACACACAAAGGCTTATTATGAACATCTACATTCACAGATAATCACATATGCTCTCACAGATACGCATGGCCATGTGTGTGAACACAGGCTCACAAGCAGACATACTGACAAGGATGAGGAATTCTGACTCCCTGACTGCAAAAATGCAGCTGGTCCACAGGGTTGACTAACATCTGCTCTACACTTACATTCATTTGAAGAGCTGAAGCCAAGACAGCCTTCCTGGACTGGTTTTATTCCTCTTCTTTGTACACATTTCCAAATGGTAAAATCTACTGGTTGAAACTTGCTTTCTGCCATCAAACGTTGTCAGTTCTCAAAATTATGCCTGAATCCTGCCCTTCTTGAAGGCAGCCTTAGAAGACGCTTCAGCCTGCACTGCCCATCCCCGGTCAGTAGGGCTGTGTTATCATTCTGTCTGCCTCATCATCTTGTATTAAAATCTTAACAGGAAGGTGTCTCCCTTCCTGTGTTGCATCTCAGCACTCCAGTACAACTTGTGGAGTCATCCAGCCAAAGCAGCCTTTGGAAGGCTATGGTGCTAGATGACTACAAGCTCAAAAGAAGGCCTGAGCATGGACCCCCAACTGGGCTGCTTCCAAATTCCTGACCCACAGAAAATGAGTGAAGTAGTATTTTTTCATGTTTTACTATGCTAAATGTTAGAGAAATCTCTTACACAGCTATAGGGAACTTACAGATAACAGATGGCAGGCCATATGCTAACTACTGGTGGCATCCAGCACTGTTCTGCAACCTCAGGGTCTTACACTGGGAGCCCAGGAGCATCGTGACACCTGCTCTACAAGAAAGCATCTATGGCCTCAGCAACAACCCTACCACGTGCATCTGATGGGGGTTGATACTTAACAAAACTGAAGTGATGAAGTGTGCTAAGGGAGCTCTGCCTCATGGACTCCTCCTCAGCTCAGTCACTGCTAGAAGCTGGGGTGTGGGAATTGTTTCTCTCATAGAAGAAAGATCTCTGTTATCTCAACATGCTCCTTAATTTACCTGCATTTCCAGAATCTGAAATTCAAGTTGAAATGTAACCATGTAGCCACTTTCTGATAATCGGTGTCTCTGTAGAACATTCTTCATATCTGTAAATTAGAAAACAAGCATTTTATATGCAAACAACAATTTTCTTCAGATATCCATTATTTTGTATGAATATCTACAACATATGTAGAAATATGAAAGCATATTAGCAACTGTATTTAAAAATCTGGAAGAATGTACTTCAAACTGATTAGCCTTACAAAGTTGGATCAGTATCAATTTATACTTCTAGTTCTCAATTATACCAACAGTCAAGGTAAACAGAAATATACATAGAAAACCCTACGTAAGTTTGAATCATGTTCACTGTTTCATGTTTTTCTTTTTTTCCCATCATTATCTAGTTCTTGTATGCATTTGGCTTGACATGACGGTAGCCATCCTGGTTCGTAACCACTATGGTGGCCCCAGAGTAACCCTAGTCACTTTTTCCTACAAACACTATTAGACAAAACCATTAGAGTCATTCATGAAGCTTTAAATAGGGACACTGGCTTTGGGATGCACCTGACTCTCAATTTTAAGATAAATTGAGAGAATTCCAGCCAGAATTAAATCACTTTTTTCCATTCTTTCTCACCCAAATTTAGGGAATTCAAATGGTCTTGCAGCCACCCAGAACCATGCTTCTGTCAGTTCGTCCCCCAAACTTGTACTCTGTGCAACTGTAGATCTGTCTATCCCTCTTTCTTTGGTCTGACAGCACCTAGGGTGGGCCCTCATACATTATGACCAAGTTGTTCTAAAATACTGTTAAAGACAAAAAAATGCAACCAACAGTGCTTAGGTCTCTTACCTCTCAAAATTTCACTAATATAAGTGCTATTTCCAAAATATGACATGAATTCCATTTTTGGGACTGGGTTTTGAATTCAGCATGCTCTACTGCTTGAACTACAACTCCCATCCATTTCATCTGGGTATTTTGGAGATGGGGGGGGATGTCTCACAAACTATTCATCAGGGCTGGCTTCAAACTGTTGACCCTCGAACAGGAGGCTGACCCTCCTGTTCTCAGCCTCCCAGTAGCTAGGAACTGGGATGAGTCACTGGTGCCCAGCAAGGATGCATACATTTAAATATACAAAAAGCCCTTTGTTTGTTTACGTATTTATTTACATTGGCATCACTGAAGATTTATCTCAACACCTCAAGCAAACTACCCCTTGAGCCACTCCCCAGTTCTTTCTCTTTTTTTGAGTGGAGGTGTTAACAAGGTCTCTTTTTTTATATACATTTTTTATTAGGATATTCGTTATACGGGGAATTAACAAGGACAATTCTGAATAGACTTATACTGTACATTGGTTACATTGCCCCCATCATCTCTTCCCCTTAACCTCCTCCCCACCCCACTTAAAGCAATTGCAAGTTTTCTCATTTCATAGAGGTACATGAAGTCCATCAACCATACATCATCACCTTAATCTCCTTCATTCACTCTCCTCTTCCACTAGTAAACCCCCAAAATATACTTATTTTAATTACAGTCCTATTTTTCATTGGATTATTATTTATTATTTATTTATTTATTTATTTCGTGGTACTGGGGTTTGAACTCAGGGCCCACAATTGCTAGGCAGGCACTCTGCCTCTTGAGCCACTCCACCAGCCTTCTTTGGTAATATTTAAGTTGATGTTCAAAGGGGTTCTCAATGTATGCCCAAATGTGGGTAAACTCACCAGCGCTTTTGCTTTTAGTGTTTTCTTTTCTTTCTTTTTTTTTTTTTTTTTAGGTAGAGTCTTACACTTTGCCTGGGGCAACCTGGTAGCTCACTCCTCCTTATTTCTGTCTCCTGAGTATCTGAGATTGCCGGCCTGAACCTTGTAACCCACCTTCCTTTTAAAATAAGGTCTTGCTGGTTCTTATTCTAGTTGAGCTTGAGGCTCTTTCCATCTACAGCATAGGTGGGATTACAACATTTGCCACCACCCAGTTAACATGGCCATTCTAAAGTACACAGCTGACTCATTTTTCTACATATATGTTTACCCATGTAACCAACACCCAAATCAATATACAGCAATTTATTGTACCCCATAAACACAATTTGACTTTACGTCAGCATGCAATATGTTAATCACATTATTTTTTTTCATCTAGAATTTAAATTTATTTAGTATTTATGTCAAGAGAAAGAACTTGAACTAGTATTACTAAACTTAGAAGGAGGAAACAGATGATAGGAAAGAAACCTCAGTGTGAAGGTATGTTATTTCTCAGAACAGGAGCACAGACAGTAACAGATCTAACACTCATCTTTTCTTTTGTTGGCATTGTTTTTGCTTGGTTCCTGGAGACAGGGTCTTGTTATGTAGCCCAGGCTGGCCTTGAATTCACAATCTTTCTGCTTTAGCTTTCTGAGTGCTAGGATTACAGGCATGAATCACCACACCCTGCATTTATCTTCTCTTGAAGGCTGGCTGATACTGTATTTCTTCAAAAAGCACAAAGCAATACACAGACAAAAACTAAAAAATTTGGCAAAAATAAAAAAAATTCCTGGTGTAGTCAGTTTACTTAATTATTTCTGAGATAAAGAGCTAGGAAAGCAATATACTATTTTTCATAAGCAAAAAAAGAAATCGCCTTCCAAATTATAAAGTACACAGAACATAAGAAAAAAGCATAATTCTGTAAAAGTATCTCAGACAGGAATATATTTTAAAGTGTCTTTAGAAAGGAATTTTCTCACGTATATTTAATATTTCCCTGATTTTTAAACACACAAAACATTATAAGTACATATGGAGTAGCCAGTCTTTCATTTTAAATGCAAAATTTGACATAAACTCACATTTATGCTTACATTGTAAATAAGTTTAAAAAGCTACTCAAACATTACTATTAAACAGCTAGCATTAAAAACAATATAAAAATAAATGACTGAAACATGCTAACATCATGAGGTAGTCACAGCATCTTCTGCTTTGTAAATAAAAATAATAGCAAAGAAGTCAACTAATTTGATGATTTTGTAGAAAACCAAAAGTGAATTACAAACCAAGATTAGCATCCTGAATATCTGTGCTCAGTATCGTTAAAATAATACTGAATCCTTTGTTGGTTCAGTTTGCCATTTGGGAGCGAAAATACTGACGCCTATTCCAGGAACAGTATACAGAATTACGGATAGAACTATAAACAATATGTAGGCTTTGCTTAAATTGCTATCTACAAATCTTTGTCAATGTGCAGAACAAGGTAACTCAGGAATTAAAGACATACTTCAAATCTCAACTTCTATAAAAGGTTTAAAAAAAAAACACTGATCAATGAAAAAGTGTTTATTTTTGAAGGATTAAGTATTTAAACACAAACTTCTGTGGAATAATAAGCTTACTTCAAAAAAGGGTGTTTGAGAAGCAGTCCCAGGACCAGCTATCCTGTTACTCCCTATTATCTCTGTAGACTGTGGAAAGTCTACCCAGTTAGACTAGGATCCATTAAGAAGGAAAACCCCAACTGTACAAAGCTCCTTTTTAAGCCAGGTGTCAGTGGCTCACACCTGCAATCCTAGCTACTAGGGAGGCTGAGATCTGGAAGATCTTGGTTTGAGGCTAGCCTGGTCAAATAGTTTGCAAGACCTCATCACCACAATAACCTGAGCAAAATGGACTGGAGATGTGCTTTGCAAGTAGTAAAGTACCTGCTTTGCAAGAGTAAAGCCCTTGCACAGCTCAAACCCCAGTCCCACCTATGTATCCCCCCCACCCCAAAAAAAGGTACAGCCTTCGCAGAATTGGGTGGCAGCCATTCATAACATTTTTTTTTGGGGCAGTACTGGACTCAGTACTTTAATTCAGGGTTTGGCACTTTGAAGCACTCTACCACTTGGGTCACACCTCCAGCCCTTTTTGTTCTGGTTACTTTGGAGATAAGGATTCACTTTTTGCCAGGTTCAGCCTGGGCCATGATCCTTCTGTTTTAAGCTTCCTGATGTAGCTGGGATGACAAAGGTGTGCACCACTACCAAGTATTGGTTGAGATGGGTCTGGGAACTTTTTGCCCAGGTTGGCCTTGAACCACAGTCTCCCAATCTCCATAGGATATATAACTTAATGTGACTCACTTTAATCAATCTTCTAAACACCTAGTTAAGAATGCAAAAATACACCTGAGATTGTGCAATCTCAGCACTTGCTTGGCTGAGTCAGGAGGCTGAAGAGAATTTGAGGCCAGCCTAGACTACATAGTGAGACCCTCTCAAAAAAAACAAAACAGAAAAAGCAAAAAAAGAATGACATTCTTACTAAGAGCTTTGAGGAAAGGAGACAAAAAGGCAATTCTGTCCAGGCCTAGGTGAGGATTGTGGACCATCAAGAGGGCAGCAGGGCTAGGTATGTACCTTAGTGGCAGAGCACTTGCCCATCAATCCCCAGGCCCTCAGCTAAATTCTCAGCACCTCCCAACACACACACAGACAAAGAGGGTAACAAAAGAATCTATGGTGCTTTAGAAGGGTAGAAGGAGAGGGTACAGGATTAGTTGCTGCAGTAGGGTCAGACAATTTTAAATACATTTAACATTTGACTTAGTACTACTGACCAACAAATATTCATAGTGAAATGAAATATTCACAATGAACTTCAGGCATGCAGCTTAAAGGGTACTTGGCCATCCCACGTCCATGAAAGTTGGATTGGTCTAAGTACATAATGTTATATAAAAGTAGTATGAATGTGAACTCATGCAACTGTAGGTCCAACTGTACATATTACTATTTAATATTATTTTATAATATTTGAAAGGAATAGTGTCAAGGTCTTACATGACTAGCCTATGTCTACTAATATCAAGAAACAATCAGAAGCTCTGTATTTATAAAAACAGAAAACACAACTATGGACAAAGTTGTGGCTCTTCCTGGTTTAAAATTATTCAATTACAAACTAGTTTTTCTCATAAGAACAGGAAATCATTGTTTCCTATTATTCAAGTTTTGTTAAATTTATTTTGTAGATTTAAAGCCAAAATTACATGTTTGATATTTTAAATGACTGAAATCTACTCATTAAAGAGCCTTAATAAGACATTATT